AATAACTAAACAAATACTTGTATCATTGGTAGTCGGTCGTAAATTAGTAATACNAGGGCCGGTTCGGGTCGTCATATGTGGAGTATAGCCCGACCTGACCTACGCTACGCATTCCTTACTATATATATATATATATATATATATATTGAGATGCAACTTTGAGATACAGACAATCAAAAACAACAGAAAAAACTTAAAATTGGAGATTCAAAATGTCTCACGTTTATGGTCTTTGTTTGTACTAGTAATGAGAAAAATGACACAATCACTTTGATTCTAAAGAAATTTCATTTCTTCTAATGTGGCCTTTCTGGAATGTGGTTATGTTGATAAAAAAGTTTTATGGTATGTTTTGATATTTGTATGTTAATTGCTTAAGAATATCTGAAATATGCAAGTTAACAATTTCCTCAAAAAAAAAAAAAAATTTGAAATGTGTAATACTCATCATTTTTGCTAGTCCATATTATATGTGGAATTATGAGTTCTTGATACTTTCAAGACAAAATATAAATTTCTTTTTTGGGTAGAAATGATTAATTCAGTGCATTTGCCACCTAGTGCTATTGGATTGGTCCTTCGCATTTCATCTTGATTCTCAAGATGGCAAGTACATGTTTCTCAGTTCATGCTCTTTCATCCTCGACTCAAGCAAAATTGTTTAGACATTTCCTCGAACTGACACTTCAAAACTGAGTGTCACCCATTTATTTTCTTAAAATGATTTCTTACAGATCATGCCTTATATTGGTTTGTATGATTAGTGATTTTAACTCATCTATTTTCTTTAAATGATATGTAACAGATCATGCCTTAAATTGGTTTCTATGATTTACTTGCTTGTGAATGTGTGTGTGATTGTCGAAGTCTGTCATCATTTACTGTTTTTGTGCAAATTATATTATTGTAGGTTGTGGGGGTTCAGAATATGCAAACGAAAAGGGAATCCCAGTTGTTTGCTTTCCCAGGAGGTCATCTTTACCCACTGCGTTATCTCCATTTGATCTTATAACTCGTCTCAGGTGAATTTTTATGGACTTCCTAATCTTTATCGATTATTTCCTGAATGATAATTACACAAAAATGAAATACTATAAGTTTGACTAATGATGTTTTTGAGAATTGCCTTCTTGCTGATAATTTGGTTGTTTTATGTCCCCCATTTGATTTATTTCTACAAAGTATTTCAGCTTACCACAGTCTTGATTTGCACTCTAATGCGAAATTTTCTTATGGACTTTCTAATCTTCATCTTTGTTTCATGAATGATTATTACACAAAAATGAAGTATTTTAAAATGATTAATGATATTCCAAATACATTGCCTTCTATGTTGATAATTTTGTTGTTTTATGTCCCCCATTTTGTTGACTTATACAAATATTTTAACACTCTGCGATTCTTACGTAAGTTGCTGATTATTTAATTTTTGTGCATTTTTGTGTTTTCTTATTTGTCACCTCCTATTATAGTGTATGGCTTATTCAAGTTTCTGAGGCATTTGGGCAAATACTGTTGCAAAGCATTTTATTCAGATTCGCATCAGTCTATTACCCATCAGAAAGTGGGGGAACACATCTTAGATTAACTGCATCTCATCGAGCAGGCTGCTGTCCAATATTTCTCTCAGCTCGTTTTCACTCCAACCTGGCCAAGACCTGAAATGGCAGACCTCTTCCTTTTCAACAATTACCCGTGAAATTGCAGCCTCTCTTGAAAGACCCTTTCCTGACGACGAGGTGCTTGGGGCTATTAGGGACCTTAAAAATGATTGGGCTCCCGGACCTGATAACTTTCCCGTTGCCCTCTTCAAATCCTTTTGGGACACTTTGAAACCTGATATCATGGCCTTCTTTGACAAATTCCATTCCCTGGCCACAATCCATAAGGCTATGAATGGCACCTTCATAGCTTTGATTCCTAAAATTGACCAACCAGAAGAACTCAAAAAGATTTCATACCTATTAGCCTGATCAATAGCGCCTACAAAATCCTTTCAAAGGTCCTAGCTTCTCGGCTTAAGTCGGTCCTCAGTTGGGTCATCTCCCCTTCCCAAGGGGCTTTCGTGAAGGATTGTTGGATCCTTGATGGGGCCTTAATTGCCCATAAATGTATCCATTCTCGGTTAATTCCTAAAACTTCTGGTCTGGTTATTAAACTAGACTAGGAGAAAGCTTACAACCATATTGATTGGAGAATCCTAGACGAAACCCTCTCTAGAATGGGCTTTGGGGCCGTATGGCAAAAAAGGATCCAAGAGTGCATCTCCAAACCCCAGTTCTCGGTCCTCATAAATGGCACTTCCAAGGGTTACTTCCAAGCTTCACGCAGGCTCCGCGAAGGGGACCTCCTATCACCTTTGCTCTTCGTGATAGCTGCTGAGGTATTCATGACTCCATCTCTCGTATGTACAGTGCAGGTTTTTTCTCGTGCTTTCACATTGGAAGGTTGGGCCCCTCAATCTCCCACCTCCAATATGCCGACGACACTGTCCTTTTTTGTAATGCCACCCAATAAGAAGTCGATTTCTTACGGCTATTTCTCCAATGCTTTGAGATGGCATCAAAATTTGGATCTAATTTCGAGAAAACCAAGATGATGGGTATTTGTTTAGACCAGGCCCTTGTCCAAAGCTTAGCCGATCGATGGGGATGTGCTGTTGAAGAATTGCCCTCCACTTACCTCGGTCTTCCACTTTTTTCCCTTGGCCTACTGAGAATTCAGCACTGGAATCCCATTATCGACAAATTCGAAAGGCGACTGGCTACTTGGAAAGGGCGATTCTCATCTCCAGCACCAGAGTGACTCTCATAAAGGCCACTCTCTCAAATATTCCCCTTTTTTTCATGTCCCTCTTCTATATGCCAGCAGCAGCTATTGCTACTCTGGAAAAGCTCATGTGGCCATCTAGGTTGTAGGTGTTTTTCGTAGAGCACTCTAACGCTTTTCTATTTTCACCTATTAGATGATTGATTCAGGGACATATGACCACATGATAGACAGCTCTGTTGGGTTCATTGCATTTTGTCCCTATTGTGGTGAATTATTTGCATTACTAATTGCTAGGTTTACTTCTGCAGCTAAAGGTTTTGGATAGAATGCACATCTCCCTTGTTTTGCAGTTTCTTCATTTTTATTTATGCTCAGCTTTACCTATTTACCTTTTGTCGGCGACTTTGCCATGCTACCTCCGTAAATTACATAGCCCTTTGTGGATTATGAGCGACGCATGGTAAGAATGTGCTAGGGTAGGGTGGCTTGTCAAAGGTTTCTGAAAACAATTTTGTTAACTTGCCCTATCAAGCACTAAATCTTACATGTGCACTGCACCCCCCTTTTTTCTTCTGAAGGCCGCAAACAAGAGAAAAGAAATACAAAAGAAAACCGAAACATTAGGATAGCTATCAACCCTCATACAACACAGTCCATGAATGTGGGTGGCATGACCATGGTGACACAGGATTCAAGAGTCTTGACAGAGCACCTTCCAATAAAACCCTTGTATGTCCCTGGTCTTACATGTGTCTGCCGTGAAATTTTGACACATGAAATTGGACAGAAAGAAGCAATATCTTGGGCAAAGAAATGTTGTTGCCACCTCCACATCTAGGTGTTCCAGAAAAATTGAATCTGCAAAAAACATCAGCAAACTGGAGTTGCCTAAGGTCATCTCCTAAGACCTTGTACACCCTGCCCCGTCTTGTGGGATCAATTGTATAGCAGGCTAATTTAGTTTTCTTTTCTCCATTTGGGCAAGTTTTAGAGTCTAGGTGTGACTGGTTTCAAGATTTATCTCTCTTTCTAATTGGATCTCTCAAACATGGAGAACTCAGTGAAACCCTAACCTAGCTTGCACGCCTCATACCTCGTCACTCTCTCTCTCACTCTCTCTCTCTCTTCTGTGTGTGTGTGTGTGTGGAACTCTCTTTAACCCAAAACCCTTTCTCTACATCTCAAGACCCTCACATGACCTTGCCTTAAGCCCCTCCACATATTCCCTAGTCTCTCTACTAGGATGGAAAAACATAGACCCAATAAAGGGGTGGGGTACCCTTCATATAAAGATTTATGGGGGTAAAGAAGAAATAAAAGTGAATTAGCCTTCTAACTCTACTAGGAGATTTATGGTGTTAGAGGGATGATCTCAGTGATCCATCCCTTGGCCAGCTATCATAGATCCAGGTTGGATCTTGCTCCAATTCCAACCACTCTTCTAATTCTATTAGGGGTTCATTAGAGCATTCCTAGGAAACTTCTACTTCTAATTGGATTCTTATGACTAACTCTAGTTAGAAGTAAATCGTCCAGAATTCTAATCTTTGCACCTTGAAACTTTGTGTTACAAATATTTCCAAAAACATCTTGCACTAGTTAACCACTTTGACCTGTTTTGAACTCTTCTCACTAGGAAACCTCGCATGGTACCTGCCCTCCTCGGAATTTTGGTGGGGCTCATGTCATTGATCAGCCACTTGGCACCCCTGTCCAGTCCTGTCACATCGATAAAAAAGTCAAAGCATGTGGGCCCCACTTGGACAAAAATGTGTCCAAGTTTGGCCTTACATAGTTTGTACAATTCCTTTTGAATTGTTCCTTAGTAAATCAAACAATAAATCCTAAAGGTCCTTATAATTAAAATGGATTTTTTATTAAAAAATAACCTTTGTTTTAATAAATTCACTACTCTATATGTAGGTGGTTAAATACAGGAAATAAAGACACATTTATTTTCCTTTAAAAACCTTTGGAAACCTTCTTTATAAAGGGTTGTTATAGTGTCCACAACATACGGATGCTTAAAGGTGCACATCTATCTTTCAATGATTGAGATTGAACCATGCTCATTCAAGAGCCAATAATGAATGTTGTTTTTTATTTTTAATTTTATTTGAAAATGATATTAATATGAAATTTTTGTTTTAGGTTCATTTTTATAAGTAAGATTAAATAAAAATAATAAAAATATTTTGAATAAAAAATAGTGACGAAAATTAATTTAGGAGTATTTTGTTTATTATTTATTTAAAATATTTTTAGTCACTTTTTTTCTGTTATATTTATAAAAATGCACCTACACTTTAAAATTCTGATTAGTATCTTATTTAAGTCAAATATATATATATATATGTATGTATGTAAGACTGGATATGGCCATATCAAATAGCACCCTTCCATCTGTCTACATGATGTGGACCGGATACTTTTTCCTGTAGAAAACCTTGGAAGAATGAGCTAGCAATGGAACTAAATGCTCTACAAGCTATCAACAACTACCCTATGACCCATCCTAGACCTCAAAACTATCCCGATGAATCCATGATCCACAAGTCTCCCATGCAAGGGGCTTATGATTAGCCTATCAAAGCTGGCCAAGGCATAGTAGTGCCTCAGTCGAGCCACATATTCCTGGTGCAATTTTCCTTAAGGACAAGTTCATCAGCCAAATAGACCGAACAGTGCACAGGAGCGTCTAGGTTCCCTCGTTTGCTTCACGGGTAGTCCTCTCTCAAGTACATGCATGTACCAATCCATCATTTGTCATTTAGAAGACTAAATATTTAGATGTTGTCTTGGAAAATCTCGTGAGTTTATTTTCTAATTTCTATTATTACTACAAGATTTTTTAGCTGTCTGAAAAATATATCAGAAGTTGATTCTGTTTGCCTGATGTGCTTGTTCGGTTACTTAGCCAAATATTTTGATTTATTATACTTTTTATTCATATCTGTCGGGCATACTGATACATGCAACCACATTCATTGCTTTACAACACTACTCTTCCATGAGTCTAGTCACTTTTTTATTTTGCGGCCATCGTACTTCTATTAGTGATGACTTGTTTCTTTCTTTTTTTATGAGAGAGAGAGAGAGACAGAGAGAGAGAGTTCACAATGGCACGGAGGTGTTCTTCTCGTTTTCCTTCTTGGGCAGTTCATAAGCAATGCTGCAGTAATATGCCCTTCCACTCTTTACCTCTTCCACATATAAATACAAAAGCCTGTAAATCCAGTGGAAACCCCCAATCTGTCATTAAAGCTCTAGCATATCAAAGGCATTCATCACTAGATCAAGAGGAGAAAAGGAACTCAGAGATAATGAATTCATGAATTGTGATAAATCTGTTAAATCTACCATTTATGGGGCTCCTTCTGATCGTTGGATTTGAGGACCAGATCCAAATGAGAAAAAGGAAGTCAGAGGTCATACATTTGAGAATAAGGAAACAGTGACAACAACTGCTTATTCTGGACTCTCAGATCAAAAGTTTTCTATTGGAATTGCCATTACTATGACTTTCTAGCATGTTTCTCCTCAAAAGGTATTTCTAGCTTACGCCTGGCTGGGCCATGAGCTTCTATGGCTCTGGCTGAAAGCGACCAGTGAGATTGGAGAAACTGGGATGTGAGAGATGGTTGTAAGGAATGTAGGAGAGAGAGGTGCCTGGTATGCTGGTTTAGATTTGATAGAGATGTGCAAGGAGAAAGCATGTGAAAAGGAAGATGGTGCGAGGAAGATGGTGTGAGAGTTGATAAGGCACCCCAATAGTTTTGAACAAAAACGCTTGTTGTCAAAAAAGTTACTGTCCTTGGACTTGAATTTTTTGAAATCTGTTTTTGGGCTGAAAAGGGTGTCGCATTTGGTCGATATTTGCTCCTTTTGTCAATTGTATAGCATATATAAATAGAAATATGAATTGAGTGTAGGTCGTAGAACTCAAAATGTTGTCTATGGTGGACAGCAACTTTTGATTGAACTTGTAGTTAAAAATTAGTGGGGCATATTTCACAAGAATACGGACACTGTTTCCTGCACCTGTGCACCTAGAAAGGGAAAAAAACTGGCCACGTTGGATGCAATGTCACTGTCCAATATGAAAATTTTGTTATGTTCGCATGTGGATGCTTAAATTTATATTTTAAATAGATAGTTTGTCCAAAGCCCAAATTTTTTAGACACTTATTTGTTGGTCCTTTTCTTTTGTCAAATTCGTTGCCTTCTAGAGTTAGTAGTGCATCTTTTAAACTGCTGGAACTCTTTTTTGTTGATCTTTTTTTTGTAGCTTGACTCCATTTGTTGCTGTGCCGTTCTTTATTTTTTGGATGTCCTATTTTACATTAACTTCATTGGTAATCTTGTTTGTTTATTTTCTCTGTTTTACTTCACTAGGGAATTCCAGGTTGACTTTCTTCTCCTTGCTGGTTTTTTAAAGCTTGTGCCTGTTGAGCTGGTTCAAGCATATCCAAGATCCATATTGAACATACACCCGTCTCTTCTTCCATCTTTTGGTGGCAAAGGATATTATGGTTTGAAGGTGCACAAAGCTGTTATTGCATCTGGAGCCAGGTATTTAAAGTTGTTTTTTCTTGTTATTAATCAAGATGATGGTCTTGGGAACTGCTATAGTGCAATGGTTAGAGCCTCTTTCGTGCATTAAGTCCTTCAAATTTTTCCAAGAGATCTTCAACATATTTTTCAAGAGATCTTCAACAATCTCTTTGAGAATGATCGGGAATTCTGCATTTTTGACATTTATATCGACAATCTTTTGATTCATTCCCTGATTTTTTGCAACTAAAACAATGAGATGCATTTTTACCTTTTCCATTTGGATTTCTTTGGCTGTTGTAGTTATTTCTTCCTCTACCTCTTCCTTGGCCACCGGAAAATTTTTGTTTTCCATGACCTCTTTTAGAACTCTTTCTTTATTTTTTTTAATATTTTTCTTTTCTGAAACTATTGCTTTTGATTGAAAAGCTTGTTTTATATTCTGATTTGAGAATCTACTCATTCTTTTCTTATGTTCTTCAAGAGACCCACTCAATTCTTGTAATGAAATTTAGATAAATCTTTGGATTCTTCTATGGCAGCTACAACATGGTCAAACTTTACGGGGCAAGGTTTTCAAAAAAGTTTAAACAAATTTTTTTTTTTATCAAGAATGACATCTCCATAACTTTTAATATGATTTACTACTCCAACAACTAGAAAAGAAGATCTGAATTGATTCACTATCTTTCATCATCTATCAAATTCTGTATATAAATATTGGAATTTTATAGAAATCACTTTTTCAAATCCCTGAAATTCATTTATTAATCCCATGCTTATATTGATTTTGAAGCAATTTTAATTCGTGGAAAAATAGATTTACTTACCTCTTAATGGAAGAAGAGAAGAGATTTTGCTTCTGTCTTTTTATTCTCCTTGTTATCCTTACGCTTTGCCTGCGACCATGATTCGAGTGTTACTACATCTTCTGGCTCTGGATAGCCTTCTTCTACTATATCCCACAAACCTTGTGAGATAAAAAGTGTCCTCATTTGGATACTTTATGAATAATAGTCATCTCCATCTAAAATGGGTATTAGGTGGGTATAATTCACACTAGAAGTAGATGCCATAGAAACGTTTCGCTAAAAGGGACTTTAGGAGCACAAATCTGGCTTTGATACCAAAATTTGTTGGGGGAAATAGCAAAGGATGGAAGAAAAAGTTGAAGAAGCAACAATAGTCACTGAAGAAATTTTTGCTATTTCATTGAAACAATAAAAATAATTGAGAGGACAAGCAAATAGTATGGTTTCAGGACCACACCTTTCTTTTTGAGGTTTTGTCCGCCACCGTTCTTTACACTTCTCTCCTACCTTTTTTCTTAACATGTGCTTCTATTTATAGACTCATGCACCAACATTCTACATCGTTCTTGCGTTCTTTTTCCTCCAAGTAATGAGCTTCAATAGTCAACTATTATGGGCTTCAACAATCTTTTACTATGTTCCTTGAAGGACCATTCTATTAGTCTTAAGTGGTGGCTTCAAATATGACAGCTTAAGAGAGTTCTAAAAAGGGATTGGAAATGATGGGAGAGAGAGTCGGTGAGAGAGTTATAAATTAATCATTCCCCCTAAACATAATTATCAAAAAAAAAAAAAAATTCCCCCTAAACTTGTAACTCTCATAATATCTTTGAACTGAATGAATTTGTCTGTAGAAATTGCTTTTGTGAATATATCCACATGATACTCATTTGTGTTGATGAACTTGGGTTCTATTTTTCTTTTTTCTGTCATCTCTCTGATGAAATGATGCCGAATTTCTATGTACTTCAATCCGGAATGAAATATTACATTTTTCGCCATTGCAATTTCTGACGTGTTGTCATAGAAATTGTTGTGGGGGAATTTTACTTTTGCTGGAAATTTGATAAAGTTCTTCTGAGCCAAATTGCTTCACATGCTGCACTTGTTGCTGAAATATATTCGGCTTTACCTGATAACAGAGCCAATGTATTTTGCTTCCTTGATGACTACGGTATCGTCTTTGTATATAGGTAAAATACATAGCTGGAAGTGCTTTCCGATCATCAATTAAATATGTCTAATCACTATCAGAAAATCCAACAAGATTAATATTATTTTTAGAAACATATTTTATACCGTGTTTCTTTGTGCTTTGGATATATCTAAAAATCTTTTTTGCTGCTGCAAAATACAATTTACGAGGTTCATTTATGAACCTGGAACAAATGCTGACTGCAGCACAATGTTTGACCATACTATTTGATAACAACTCAAGTCAAGATCGGTGATGGTAAACCTCAAAATGTTGAAGGAAATGGAGTAATTGTAGTAAAAATAGAGGGTGATAATCCTAAATTCATTTATGATGTTCTTTTTGTTTCCAACTTGACTCAAAATCTTTTAAGTGTTGGTCAATTGATATAAATGGTTACTCAATCAATTTCGATAGGGTTGAACGTTTTACTTTTGATAAGAAGAATAAACAAATAATAGTCAAGGTGAAAATGATCCCAAATAAGGTATTTCCCTTGGTCATGCCTTTATGTGAGAATTATGCCTTGAGTTATGAAAATTTTAATGAATCTTATCTGTGGCATTTAAATTTCAGAAATTTGAAATTGATGAAACAAAAAGGCTTTATATTGGCTAAAACAAGCTCCACGAGCTTGGAATAGTAAAATTGATGAACATTTTCGGTAAAATGGATTTGAAAGGTGCCCAAGTGACCTTCACTATACGTAAAACAGAGAAGTAAAAATTCCTTCATAATTGTATGCCTTTATGTGGATGATTTAATTTATAATGGCACAAACCCAAAAATGGTTGTAATGATGAAAAAACTATGAAATGACCGATTTGGGGATCATGAAATATTTTCTTGGAATCCAAGTAAAGCAGTCAGATGTAGAAAGTTTTCTTTCAAGAAAAATCTGTTGAAGATCTCCTAAAAAAATTTAAAATGTCAAATTGCATGCAGTGAGTTCTCTAATGGGAGTGAATGAAAAACTCTCTAAAAATGATAGTGCAGAAAAAATTAATGCATCGATTTATTGAAGCTTGGTTGTTTCCTAGATTAATCTAATCTAACACAAGGTCAGATATTGTGCATGCAGTTCCATGCTCATGAATGAACCAAGTAAACTGCATTTTGTAGCAGCAAAAGGGATTTTGAGATATATCCAGGGAACAAGGAAACACAAATATCAAATATATTTATGAAAATAATACTAATGTTATTGGATTTTCTGATAGTGTTTGGTGAGGTTTTATTGATGATCGGAAAAACACTTTTGACTATGTATTCTGTTTAAGAACAAAAGTTATTTCTTGGTCATCAAGGAAGCAAAATTTTGTGGCTCTGTTGTTAGTAGAAACCAAATATATTTCAGCAACAAGTGCAACATGTGAAGCAGTTTGGCTTTGAAGAATTCTATCGTATTTGCAGTAAAAGCAGAATCCGTTCACAATAATTTTTTGTGACAACATATTAGCAATTGCCATGACTAAGAATCTAGTATTCTATTCCAGATCGAAGCAAATAGAAATTCGGCTTCACTTCTTCTGAGAGCTAACAGAAAAAAGGGAAATAGAACTGAAGTTTATTAACACAAATGAGTAGCTTGCATATATTTTCTCAAAAACAATTTCTACAGATAAATTTATTTAGTTCATAGATATTATGAGAGTTACGAATTAAGGGGAGATGTTAAAAAAATAAATTGTAATTTTCACCAACTCTCTCTCTCCCATCATTGTCAATCTTTCTCTAGAAGTCCCTCCTAAGCCGTTATATTTGAAGTTACCACCTAAGGCTAATAGAATGGTCCTTCGAGCAACACGGTCGAAGGTTGTTGAAGCCTACAATAGTTGACTAGTGAAGCTTATTACTTGGAGAAAGAATGTGAGAGCCATGTGGAACGTTGGTGCATGAGTCTATAAATAGGTGCATTAATTAAGAAAATAGGGGGGAGAGAAATGTAAAAAGGAAAGGAGGTGTAGAAAACCTTAAAAAGAAGGTGTGGTCCCCGAAGATCATACTATTTGCTTCTAATTTCAGTTATTTTTATTATGTTAGAAGAAATTACAAAGGCTCATAGAAAAGTTGAAGAGGAAGCCGTTTTTTTTCAAAGTAATTCCACTATTTCACTGAAATAGTATAAAAGAGGGATTACATATGAATAATGTGGACTGAGGGTACACACTCTTTTTACAATGGTTGCACAACTATTGCTTTATCTCATTTACAATTTTACCTCCCTCACTTGATAAGATTCTCTCTCACTCTTTGCATGGGTTTTCGCTTTTTTTTTTCATTCCTATACAACGTTGTAGTGATGATCTATTTATAGGTTTTTTATACCGCCTTTTTATATTTTTCTAGTGTGCCTTCATCTTGATATAAGAAGTTTCATCTTTCTTCTATTGTGGGTTTATATGGTTTTCTTTTGGAATACAATTTCATAGTAAAAAATGATGGCTTTTCAATAGAGTTAGAAGAGTGTGTGCTGTATGATGATGTCATTGATGAGTGTATGGTGTATGATGATATCATTGTTGATGAGAGAGTCGGTGAGAGAGTTGCAAATTATTTTTTATCATCCCCTATTAATTTGTAATTCTCATAATATCTTTGAACTGAATAAATTTGTCTTTTAGAAATTGCATTTATGAATATATTTGCAAGTTGCTCATTTGTGTTGTTGAACTTCGGTTCTATTTCTCATTTTTTTGTCATCTCTCTTATGAAGTGAAGTCGAATTTCTATGTGCTTCGATCTGGAATGGAATACTAGATTCTTAGTCATGGCAATTGCTGGCATGTTGTCATAGAAAATTGTTGTGGAGGAATTATGCTTTTGTTGGAAATATGATAGAATTCTTCTAAGCCAAACTGCTTCACATGCTGCACTTGTTGCTGAAATATATCTGGCTTCTGCTGACGATGGAGTCATAATATTTTGCTTCCTTAATGAACAAGATATGAATTTTGTTTCTAGGCAGAATACATAGTCGGAAGTGCTCTTCCAATCATCAATAGAACCTGCCCAATCACTATAGAAAAATCCAACAACTTTAGTATCATTTTCATAATTATCTTTGATATCGTGTTGCCTCGTTCTCTGGATATATCTCAACTTTTTTTTGCTACTGCAAAATTCAGTTTACTTGGTTCATTCATGAACCTGGAACAAATATTGGTTACATGCACAACATCTGGTCTTGTAGTTAGATAAATCAAGGAAACAACCAAGCTTCGATAAGTCGATGCATTAATTTTTTCTGCATCATCATTTTTGGGGAGTTTTTCATTCACTCTCCATTGGAGTATTCATTGGCTTTCAATTTGACATCCTGAATTTTTTCAAGCGATCAACATAATTTTCTTGAGAGAAATTTCTCCTTCCAACAGTTTTACTTGGACTCCAAGAAAGAATCTCATGATCCCCAAATTGATCATTTCATGTTCTTTGAGCATTGCTGTCTTGAATTCTTCAATCGTTTTTGGGTTTGTACCAATATAAATCAAATCATCTGCGTAGAGGCCTACAATTAAGAAGGAATTTCACTTCCCTTTTTAACATATAGTGAAGGTTCACTTGAGCTTCTTTCAAAACAATTTTGGTGAAAATAATTGAAGGTTCACTTGAGCTTCTTTCAAAACCATTTTGGCGAAAATACTTATTAACTTTGTTGTTCCAAGCTCGTGGAGCTTGTTTTAGCTCATATAAAGCCTTTTTAAGTTCATAAACTTTTTTTTCTTTTCCTTTTTCAACAAAACCCAATGGTTGTTCAATATATACTTCTTCCTCAAGCTCTCTATTCAAAAATGCAGATTTCACATCCAATTTAAAAATTGGAATTTTTAGTTGTGCAACTATGGCCAAAACAGTTCGAGTAGATTCCATGCTTGCAACGGGGGCATAAGTTTCATTGAAATCAATTCCAGGTTGTTCTGAATAGCCTTTTGCCACCACTCGAGCTTTTTGTATTGTTGAATGGAAATTTCTTCATTTTTTTTTTTTTGTAAATCCATTTCAGTTTTATTATTTCTTTCCCTTTTGGGCGTTCAACCAGTTTCTATGTATTATTTTTCTTTATCACTATAATAATTTCATTCATTGAATTTACTTAAGTTTTCTCATTAGTTGCTTCTTCAAAAAAATTTTGTTCACAAGAAAAGAATGCATCACATGATTCATAAATTTCATAAAGAGATACTACTTTTCTGGGAGGTTCTTCTGATTTTGAAGAACTTGGGCTTGGACTATTCTGTCTTGGACTTGAAGAGCTTGGGCTTGAATTATCAACCTCTAAAAATATTTAGTCTTGGCCAGTTTTTTCATTTCAATCCCATTCACTTTTCTCATATAAAATAACATGTGGAAATTTCTAATTCCTTTACTTTTGGGTTAAAAAGATGATAAGCTTTAGAAACCTCACTGTATCTAATGACAATATATTTTTCGCCTTTTTCATCAAACTTTTCTATGCCATGGGAAGTATTTTTTTATAAACAGCAGCATTTATAGCTTCAGCCCAGAAATTATTAAGAAGGTTCTTACCTTTTAACATACTTCAAGCCATTTCGACTATTGTTCTATTTCTTCTCTCTGCTATTCCATTTTTCTCTGCTATTCCATTTTTCTGTGGAGCATATGCTGCTGTTAATTCTCTCTGCTATTCCATTATTAGGAAAGAACTTTGGTTTTATATAGACACTACCCCTAAACGCATTACAACTTGGAAACAATGAAAACAACCCAAGAGATATGGGTCGTAGATCTCGAATGATCTTCAATTTAAGCTTTATCACGTCGAACAGGCATTCAGGTTTATACTTTCAGAACGGGCTCTGCATGAAGTCTTGTTGCCTCCATTTCTCTTTGGTATTATGGTAGTTTTGAATGGTCAACATTAGTTTTCTGGTGTAATGATGCTGCTGATGCTCTCTCTCTCTCTCATGTTCATGTGAATATAGACATACATATATGTACATAGGCCACCATGTATAGACACACAGACAATCACTGGGAAGTGGTATCTATAGGATTTTAACCCAACTAAGATGGTGGGTGCGATCCTTCAAAACCTATTTGTGGGCATTTCATATTATACAGTTCCTGGATGTCTACCATTCACTAAAGGAGGTAGGTGTGGGGCTATCCTACTCCTATGGGACCTACATATATTTTTTCCCAATCATACCTTCACTTTTTCCATTTTATGTTACGAGTTTTTGAAACATTTATGTATCCTTTGTCATATGCATTTCTCACACTTTTGGTGGATTGCTGTTGTGATGTTTCTTATACCAAAGAAAGCCCCCATATCATCTTAAATTATTTTTCTTTCACATGTGTAAAATTTCAAGAATTTAGGCATGGAATTTCCTCGTTTGTAGTTTTCTTTTCTGAAACTAAATGAAGATTAAAAGTTTCCTTTTCAGAATCCTATTTGATTATACTATTTTTGTACCTGCAACAGATATTCTGGTCCAACTATACACTTTGTAGATGAACATTTTGATACAGGCCGTATCCTTGCTCAGAGGGTTGTACCTGTGTTGGCAAAGGATACCCCAGAGGAATTAGCTGCTAGGGTTCTTCATGAGGTATGAAGCTCATTATTTCTTTCATGTTCCATGTATGATGTTGAAGGCTACAAGCAGCCCTGTCTCTTTTGTGGTACTTTCTTGATAAATTATAAGTCCATTAAAGAAAAAGATTAATTCTTTGAAAATGCATTTTGGATATGAAATAATTCCTTTGTTCTTTTGGATGGCATCCTATGAGTACCTTTTAGACTTCTCATTTTTAACATGACTATATATTTTTTTTCTTTTTGACCATCCACATGGCCTAAAATTCATTCAAGAATATATCTGTTTCCATTGTTCAAAAAGAAACTAAAACAACTTTCTCCATAATAACTTCCCAGTTTTGTTTGAAATTTTTGGCTACTCAGTTGACTCTGGAAAAATGTCAACCGCTTTTGTTGAAGAAAAATTCATGGTTTATCATGCTACAATGGATTGGTCTTTTTGACATATCAACTCCTAGCCTTTTGTAGGCTGTTACTGAACTTTTGTATCCTTTTGTTCTTTTGGATGGCATCCCATGAATACCTTTTGGACCTCTCATTTTAACATGACTGGATTTTTTTTCTTTTTGATAATTCACATGGCCTAAAATTCATCCAAGAAAATATCTGTTTCGAATGTTAAAAACTAAAATAAAACCACTTTCTCCATAATAACTTCCTAGTTTTTTGTTGAAAATTTTGGCGACTCAGTTGACTGGAAAAATGTCAGCAGCTTTGGTTAATGAAGAAAACTTGCATGGTTTATCATGCTACTAGTGATATGTTATGTGCATAACATGGAACTAGATTTCAAAAACCAAAATATGCTATGTGCATATTAGTGAACTAGATTTCAAAAACCAAAATATGCTATGTGCATATTAGTGAACTAGATTTCAAAAACCAAAATATGCTATGTGCATATTAGTGAACTAGATTTCAAAAACCAAAATATGCTATGTGCATAACATGGAAACACACTCAAAAGGAATAAGATGGAATCATGGCCAACCATGGCATGACCAATTGATATCTATTTCATTATTTTGGGTTCATGGTTTAGCATTGAAATGGTTGACATTCTATGCACAGGAGCATCAACTGTATGTGGAAGTGGTCGAGGCATTGTGTGAAGAACGCATAGTTTGGAGGAATGATGGAGTGCCTCTCATACGCATCAAAGGCAGACAGGATGAGTATTGGTGACCGAGGCTGTTGAATGTGGCTATTTTTTGTCAGGTTTAAGGAGGCTAATTTTTGTTTTGCTTTCCATCCCACAGACGAGCTACCTACCCATAAAGTTACTTTTTCAAGGGTTGTGTACTATTTGTTATTTTCCTTTTGGTATTATATCACAAATTCTCATCCAATGTTTGTCATACGGCAACGATGTCACTTGACCCTGTAAATGGGGTCCTTTTTTGTATACCCCTTACTCTTAATACAAGTTATCTTCTCTCAATTTTTTTTTTTCTTTTTTCTTTTTTTTTCATACAGCATGAACCTGCATGAAATGCATCATAATTTGGGCATTCTCCAAGGAGCGGGATTTGGTGAAATAGATGTGTTTGTGAAGATGTATACTGCTTGTAGCTGAGAAATGAGCTTATGAAGCTTTACTATTCTGTAGGATTGGCTTTTGTTCTTTTCCTGCTTAGATGGAGGGCTAAGAAGGCCTCCTCTCAAAGACGCCATAAGACATAAGTAAGATGTGACACTAGAAGAGTTAGAATTCTAACTTTCTGTCGGGACCTTTTAAAATAAAAAGAATTTATAGAGGTTTATGTAAGGTGTCAAGCTTGTACTATATAGGTATGGTGCACTGAAAAAATCCTTTAGGCGATAGTGTTCCGATGTTGGAAAGCCATCTCGGCCTCGAGATGCATGGACATGAAAAAAAAAAGAATTTCAAGTATTGAAAACAATGCACCCTTTAATAAGTTATATAGACCATTTATTTTTAAAATTTTCAAATTTTTATAGATTTATTTGATTTATATTATTTTTAAAATTTCAAATTTTATAACTAAGGATGAATTTAGATTTTCCAAGCAAGATTTTCAACATTGGAACTACATCCCCACATTGCTTTACTTCTACAGTATAAGAGGGGGTTTATAAAACCTCACCCTTTAAATACTGAGAAAAATCACTCATAAGCCCCTTACAAAATCATTAAAGCAGTCAAATTATTCGATGTTCCTCCTTAAAAATATATTAAACCTTGAGTCAAATTTTAGCAATACAAAACTGCCAAATGAAAGCCTCGGAACTCATTTTTTTCATCAGACCCTTGTTTGTTTTCTGAATCCGTATCAACCAAGAATATTCATGTTATTTGAGTTGGGCCACTTATAAATTATCGAAATGCCCCGGTTTGTTTAGGATTCTCTATTCGAAAGGCCAATTTAATTATTTTTAAGTGCAATGAAACTTAAAAAGTAAGGGTGCAGTTGGCATATGGATGCATATGTAGCTGTAGAGGTAAGGTGCACCTTCAAATTTTAGCATGGTATATAATTTTGATGCAAAATGTTCTTAGGATTATCTCAAAATTTATTTTTATATTTAATTATAAAAGTTTAAATTTAAAAAATAGTTAAAATCAAGTAGATCTATAAACATATAAACTTTTTGAAATTAGACGGTGTAGATAATATGTTTTAAAATGTACTATTTCTGAGACTTGAAAGCTCTCGATGTCGAGATGATCAATCAAAGGTTTTTTCAAGATTAAAACTATATTTTTCGATGGATTTTTGAGGTGCATCCGTAGTTCTACATTATAAGGTTGCATCCTTATATAAATTTTTTCCAAAAAGTAATTGTATGAGATTGACAAACTTTAGTGAGTTTGTAAGGTTGTTTGACCATTTATGTATATTTTTGCTTGAATAATGATAAGACAAAAATTAAAGTTTTATTTTATTTTTATCAAAAACTAAATATTTTTATTTTAAATGAGAATATGTTTTGTTTTAATCAGTGTTTTAAAAAACGCCGAGTCGAACCGGACTCGCCCGGTTCGACTCGAAAATCGTGAAAAGGGGACCGGATAGCTTAAAAAATCGGAAATCGTCCGGTTCTAGAGAGAACCGGAAGATTCTGTACAGTGAATGCCGATTCACTGTACGGAATCGGCGAGTCCGAACAGTGAATCAGCGAGTCCGTACGGAAATTTTTTTTTTTGTTTTTTGTTTGTAACCCATGATAGAT